TTCTGACCGCCGCCAATGGGCCGCCGCTATTCGTGACATCCGTGAAGCCGATCCATCCAACAGCAGTACCTAATCGGATCAAGTAAGTAAGTATGCATTTTACCGTTGATTTAGACTGCCTTTATAAATTCAAATATGTTTTAGGAAAAATGTGCACGAAAATATTATTTCTTGTACTCGTTTGGTAGAAAATTACCATTTCTCTAAATCCCATACCTAAAGAAAGGGTATATTTCAGTTTTAAAAAAGATTCTAAATTGCCGAATAATTTTGAACCCTACTGATTGCTGCACTCGAATTCAATGCTTACAAACTGCGCGTTGTGTACATCCTGCTTCAGGAAAAGTACGTTTTCGCCTATGGCTGAGGAAAAATTCATATAGTTCTCATAAAATACAGCAGTAGATGTGGATCAGGCTGTATAGAAGCACAAAGCCTGTTGAAGCAGCTTCGCCTCAAAAGAAAACCTCGGGCTGCAAATATGACTAATAACGTATTTGTATGGCTCCGTAGACAATGTCTTTGTGCATTTTTATCTAGGATTTACGTTTGAAAGCATGGAGTACAAGAATATGAGTAAATAAACTCATTGATAGCAACAAATCATGTTTTACGGAAAATAACGTCTGGAGGATGCAGCGAATGAGATCCTTCGCTAGCTCGAAACCCAAACTGATTGTAATACCTGTTGATTAGACTATTTTCTAGTTTACGGACAGGATTGGCTCTGCCACAAGCATGTTCAGTAGAAGAAAAACCTACAAAAGAGCCAAAGATCAATTGTTTATTTGCTCCATTTACAATCGCTGTTAGGCACAAACACACGCCCACACCCAAGGCAAACGCTTAAAAAATGGAGTTGTGACAGTAGAATGTCAGGTGGGTGACTCAAAAGGTCCTCAGAGGTAACACCCCGGTGACTTGTTCTCCTGGTAGACCTGGTAAGCATATAGATGTGCGTTCGAAAAGACCTCTTGAGCCCACTCTGCTGTTGTTGGGTAACCGCTCATTAGGACTCCATAAAGATTGGGGAAGGTAAGCTCAGTCATCTGCATAAAGGAAGGTTCTCCGGACGGCTGGCGCGTGATGCTTACTTCTGCCTTTGCGGGGACGTTGACTATCTTTCGTGTAAGCCTTTCCGCAGAGTTTCCGAAACCCTAGACACGCGAAAACGGAAGATGAACGATCGAAAAAATGATTGCCGGTTGTTACCAAGTCAAATAACACAAAATGAGATTTACTTACCAAATAAGTAGTCCGCACATTAATAGCAGAGAAAAGAATGTTGCAAGTAGTCGAGGTTTTGGAGCTTCCATCAACGCAGTCCCCCACGAGTTTTGGTTCGTAGCATTGTATTCCAAACCAGGTCTTCGTGGGCCCGAAAAACTTCACATCCTTGCCGAGTTCAGAGACCCCTTTCAAGTATTCTAGCACATAATGCGACACAGTAGCGTGTCCGTGACCATCACGTGGACACTTTTCTTTAAATTGCATAAAGAAATGAAAACGCGTTAGATAGTAATAAACGAATTCTAAGCCGTAATGTACAAACGGTATGGAGGGTGTCTGCAGAAAACGCATTAAATGGAACTTTTAAGAAAAGGAATCACAGTAACGTACGTGGGCTTGCAGGGCAACTCTGACAGAGAAGAGGGGCGACAATCAGAAGAGCCAAGAGCCAAGCTAATGCCATTTTTGTTTGTGGGAGTAGGGCTCTGGCGGCGAATGTTGACTAATGTTGACGTGAGAGGCTGGTGGACCTTATAAACGCAGTTTGCTGCTAATCGTTGATTGGTCCAATAGGTTCAAAACGTGGACCATTCTGGCTTCCTTATTTCATCTCCTTAACTACAGTTGTCGCCAAATATCACGCAAAATGTCGACATATGCGAAAAATTGATACTACTTCGCTAAACAGCATTGACTCAGGTTGTGATGCTGATTATCATGTAGTCTATTCTGAAGTCATTTCAGTCATGATAGGATGCGG